GGGGGGGGGGGGGGGGTCTCTTTCTCATGCAGAAAGCTATTTACAGGGAAATGCGATGGATTAGCTGAAGCTCATCAATAGGGAGCGCCTGCTCACCCGGTGCTTTACAGACTGGCCACCAATCGAAGGGAATTTCAATATTTACCTACATCCTCGTTTTGTTAGTTGCAGTTAAGCAAACACGCAATTCGCTAATTCATGTTAGTGGATGAGTGAGACTTGTTTAAGTATTTTCCTTCCACGCTAATGATGATTCATTTGAATGACTTTAGGTGTGAATTTTGACTCACGGGCCATTGAATACAGATAAACAACAGGGTGGTTCGTTTTAACATCTATCCATGAGCCAATTTAACGATCATATTACAATTACATTAACTGGGCAGATAGTTTTGTTCTGACCTATTGTACATATGTTATTTGTCTGTCACACACACACACTCCTGCAAACAGAAGTATATAAAATGTATTCACACACTGTTGGAGTGAGATGAAATACACAAGGATTAAAGGCACCCAACACCACAAAGTCACATCACAAAATGCCAAAACAGTCAAAAGTGCATTCATCAGTCTACATGAATTAAATCGATCGTTTCATGTATTTGTTTTATACAGTGTGGCTCCGATGGCATTAGTACCCCTGCAGAGGCAGATCATGAGGAATTGTTTAGTGTTAGGCTGTACCGGAGATCTTTGAGTTCTGAAAATCATTTTCGAGCTGAGGTTAACAATTGTTTAGGTCCTTTTGATGAAGGAAAGCAAAGCAACAAATTACTGAAAAAGTCTAGTTTGTGTTGGCCGCTACAAAGTATTAACTTAAGGGGGCTGAATAATTTTGCACGCCCAATTTTTCAGTTTTTTATTTGTTAAAAACGTTTGAAATATCCAATAAATTTCGTTCCACTTCATGATTGTGTCCCACTTGTTGTTGATTCTTCACAAAAAATTACAGTTTTATATCTTTATGTTTGAAGCCTGAAATGTGGCAAAAGGTCGCAAAGTTCAAGGGGGCCGAATACTTTCGCAAGGCACTGTATATACCCCACTCACCATTCTGAAATCTGATTCACGTCACACTCCTCCGCCTACCAATCTGCAAAGAAAATTGGAAAGGTCCTGCGCAGTATCTTAGCTGTTCCTAGGACTGCACTCTTCTGGACAGAGATCTCAGATGTTGTTCCTGGGATCTGTTTGAGCCACTCCCCCAGTTTGGGGGTCACCGCCCCCAATGTTCCTATTACCACAGGGACCACTTGTGCCTTCACCTTCCACATCTTTTCTAGCTCTTCTTTCAGCCCTTGGTATTTCTCCAGCTTCTTGTGTTCCTTCTTCCTGATGTTGCTATCGCTTGGGATTGCTACATCTATCACTACGGCCTTATTCTTTTGTTTGTTTACCACTACTATGTCTGGTTGGTTGGCCATTACCGGTTTGTCAGTTTGTATCTTGAAGTCCCACAGGATCTTAGTTTGGTCATTCTCAACCACCTTTGGAGGTATATCCCATTTTGACTTTGGGACTTCCAGCCTGTACTTGGCACAGATGTTTCTGTACACTATGCCAGCCACTTGGTTATGGCGTTCCATTTATGCCCTGCCTGCTAGCATCTTGCACACCACTGTTATGTGCTGGATTGTCTTGGGGCATCTTTGCACAGCCTGCACCTGGGGTCCTGTCTGGTATGGTAGACCCCTTGCGTCATCTGTGAACTTCTGGAGTTTAACAGAGGGGTCTCCTGAGCTACAGTCATTGGTGTATAGGGAGAACAGCAGCAGGGAGAACACACATCCCTAGAGGATGCCTGTGTTGATTGTCTGGGTGCTAGATGTGGTTTTCCCCAGCTTCACCTGCTGCTTTCTGTCTGTCAGAAAGCTGGTGATCCTCTGACAGGTGGGGGCAGGGAAAGATGTCCAGGATGATGGTGTTAAACACTGAGCTCCACAAACAGTACTCATGCTTAGGTCCCTGGGGTTAGGGTTATTTTGAGGCAAGTTCTTAAGTTGTAGGGAATTTTTTAAATATAATTTCTAATTTGAGTCTACTATCACAAGAAAGAGCAAGTCCTGCAGCTTCTAGCAATGTGTGTACAATTTTCTCTGTCAACCAAAATTCAACAAGTTAGGCAAATGATCCCATATATTATCAACCAACATACTGGTCTGACCCCTTATCCACATGTCTACCTATGTTCCTTTACCTAGTATGTGTTTGTAGAAGGAGCGGGTGAAGTAGATGTTGACCAGCTGTCTGTGGTACAGAGCCAATCCCAGAATCTGGCCTGCAAACCGGAAGTAGTTCAGATGGTCAGGGTTCACTGAGGAGTTGCTGTTGGGTTGAAAAGTAGTACCTATAGAACACACAAACACAATGATTGTTGACTGCTGCACATGCTGCTCCCATGCAGCATACATTCTGTTATTTTCTTATACTATATTGCTGCATCTGCGCCGCTTAAAGTGCCTTAGATTTTGTGTTATTTATCTACTTTATATTTCATTTGTATTTTGTGGCATTCATGTGGACGGCAAAGTAAGAATTTCATTGTACAGGGAAACACGTTTCCTAACTGTGCATATGACAAATAAACACTTTGACCTTGACTAGAGTCCAGTTACATGCTTGTCAGAAACAGTGGAGACGACTGAGAGCCTCCCTCCCCTTCTGCTACATGTATTCATAACTCACTCTCCACCCTGTCTGAATGTCGCAACACAAATATTTCCTTTTTTCATTTTCAATGATCATTTGCTTTATTTCAGCATATAGGATGAAAAACAGCTATAAGTAGCTGTCATAAACTAAAATTAGCCGTATGCACAGTAAAGCTATCTCTGTTATGTTACAGCTACAATATGCATACCACAGAAATCTAGCTGAAAACAGCTTAAAGGTAAATCAAGGGGAGATGTGTGTCCAATCCAATTGAAGATTTGGAGAGAAACAAGCAGGAACAACAAATGACCCCAAAGAAAGGCAATAATGACATGTAGAGAGTGAAAGATGGAAAGCGAAGTTGGAGGCCCAAAATCTTTCCAATTCAGAATGTTTGGTTGGTCATTTAGAAATGCAGAGCAGGCACAAAACATCAACCAGTAGTGCCTGGTTGCACAAAACATCTCACCTACCCAAGCATTACAGTTCCAGAAACACATCCAGTGAAGTAGAAAGGTAGAGTACAAATAATGGGTAACCCCTTACTGTCCAGCAGAAATGACAGCACGGTCTTCACCAGGCTGACTGGCAGCAGAAATGTGCTGGACAACAATAGTCTTGCTTTCAGTAACCACAGTAAGTGTGGATCGACACATTTTAAGTCTCTGCTGCTTGAGACAAGTGAGTGACAGACCTGCAGTAAATGTTGTGATAACAGTATTGTGGAGATTGTCTGTCCATCATTTCTACAGTGAGAGCAGTCATGTGTACCATTTTTGTTTTATTGTTTTGTTTGTTTTTTGATACAATGGATCATGGAATCCTCATCTCGCTTGGAGCAGTGTATACAGTAAGATTTCAAGGTACTGTTCTTAACTGGTTCAGATCTTATCTCACCAATAGAAGTTTTTCCTGTTAATATTGGTAACTGTTGCTCCTCTGTCCCCAATGGGTCTGTACTCAGCCCAACTCTCTTTTCCCTGTACATGCTTCCGCTGGGATCAGTTCTAAGGAAATATGGCGTCTCCTTTCATTGTTATGCGGATGACATCCAGATATATTTACCATTAAAAGCAGCCAGAGGGACGTCTCTACAGCCATTGTTTGACTTTTTGACAGACTTGAAAGCATGGCTGGTGCTCAACTTTCCTAAATTTAATGCGGATAAAACTGAGTGTGTTTTATTTGGCAATCTAGCAAAGTTTGTTTCTTTTAACCATGACTTAGGCGCCCTGGCTCATCATCTGAAGATGACTGTAAAAAACCTAGGGGTAATGTTTGACAATGACTTAAGGTTGTTGATTCTTCACAAAAAATTACAGTTTTATATCTTTATGTTTGAAGCCTGAAATGTGGCAAAAGGTCGCAAAGTTCAAGGGGGCCGAATACTTTCGCAAGGCACTGTACATACTATTCATTCCATGTAATAAAGCCATGCTTGTTACACTGAATGTTGTTAAGGTAAGAAAATGTCATGTACCATCAGCTGACTGAGTGAACAGAGCATAATCTGGGTTGATAATCTCACTGGACAGGATGTCAAACCACTCCCGAACCACACCCTGGCCCTGAAACAAACAAAAAGATTCAACACACACAACCAGACAGCTTTGCTTTGGATTATATACAGTATGTGATTTGGGACTGGGCTACTGCTGATTCATCAGCCGACAGATGAAACAGACCAATAGAAAATGAGTTTTATTACTGAGAACTTGTATGAAGTGTCACATGAATTTAGAAACCCACCATCCCCTCTTCGCCATGGAAGCGAACAGCAATGCCCTGTTTGAGTTTCTCATTGGTAGACTTGGAAACCATCTCACAGCTACTTCTGAATATAGAGTCTGTTAGTGTGAAAAACAGAATTAGTATATCATATAACAAAACTTAAATAAGAAGGTGGGGAGGACAGATGGGAAATATGGTCAGGGTTGGAGCATCATGCTTTGTGTTCTGTCTTAAACAAACAATATAAAATTTGGGAATTTGTCACCTTGCTTATTTGCAGAAATCAACACTCAGTAGAACTTGACATTTTATTGCTTTGTCACATGTCCGTGCAGATTCTCAGTCATCCAGGTCATAGTAAAATGAAATAACCTTAGAAAAATCAACTGGACTTAGATTTCTAGATCGAAGACGTTTCACCTCTCATCCAAGAGGCTTCATCAGTTCTGCTGATGAAGTGAGGTGAAACGTCTTCGATCTAGAAATCTAAGTCCAATTGCTTTGTCACACAATTTCGTACTAAATAGCATATTTACTTTTCCAATTTGCTCCTACCATCAACAACCACCATCCACAGTGGATGTTGTTTTGATATCATTTGTGGAAACTAGAGAAACTAGCTGTAAAAATTTACATTTTCATAAGTTAAACCATTACCACTGTGTAACAAAACATTCACTGATTTCCGTTGTACCACTTCACTGGCGCAGAAGGAGTGCCAACAATGCAAAATGTTAGTACCAATGAAAGCAGTACCTGCACTAACATACCCCCACTAATGCAACCCCTTGTATTTTTATACAAAATTCAGCATGTGCAAAACAGAGGCAAATCCAATTAATAATGCTTTCTTAAAGCGACTCTAAACATTACCAACAACATTTGTCAATAAGCTAGGAAAATTACAAGTGTGAATGAACATCTGTGTGGACCTTAAACAGTGGGTGTCTGTGGTGGTGAGAATGGTTTGTACCTCTCTGGATGAGAAGGATGTCGTTTTCGTTGACCGGACGATGAACCATGTCTGAATCTGGCTGCCCGGCCAGCAGATGCTCATAGAACCACTCACAGCGATCCTTAAAAGGCTGACAAAGAAAGCAAGACTTCATCTAACACTACACAGCACTTTTCCTAAACTAATTACCACTTCACTCTGCTCTCAGACTATGAATTTTTCTGTCTCAACCCATGACTCTGAAACCCTTCAGTGCTAAACTACTCTTCTGTAATAATATATGCCTTTGTTCTCTAAACACTGGAGGTAGAAGTGAAGGATGAGCATGTAATAGAGAGAAAGGCTTTTACCCCTGGGGCTGCAGGGTACACTGTGAGAAAAATCAGGAAATGAAATCAAATTCATCAGATTAAAATCTGTCACCTTAAAACCAGAGCCTAGTCCCAGGTGAGCCACAGCACATGGATATTGAGGCTTGAATGCTGCAGCTCAAATACTCAAATGTGAGTGAATAGCACACATCTCACAGCAGCACTAAAATCTTATAAAGCTGTATAAATGGAACGTAAGACAAGTGTTACTGCCATGGCTTTAACACTGTTACATGATACCGAAGAGATGGCAGGCATGGGGGGACATAGCAGTGACCGTACTGCTATGTCCCCCCACGCCTGCTTCACCTCAAGGAGCCTTGGAGGGTTAGGGGTATCCCTATAAATGATCTGCTTGCACACCTTCACCTTGCGCATGAGCAGATCCATTTTTTCAGTGGAAAATCTTACTAAAATCTGACCTGGCAAGAAAAGGAAACCAAAGGGTTGGACTGGCCTGGTCCTTGGGTGTGGAACCTTTGACGGACTGCTGTTTCCTGCCTCTGCGGTAACCGTACTCATTTCCTGTTTTCTGTGCCTGCATCGCGTTTGTGCTTGCTCCCAGATTGTTTAGGAATTAAACTCACTATTTTCTAGGTTCACCTGAATTTTTGAGTAACAGCATACACTTGCACTACTTAAGGACTTGTGTTGTACAAGTTATTGCTAATTACCAGATTTAATTTGCTACTTTTGGTTGGCTAGCTTAGAAGCCAGCGAAGCTTGTAGCTTAATTGAGAGCAATGCCTCCCCCCGTTCCTCTCCTCCTTTCTCTTGCTCGGAGTGTCGCATGTTCAGTTATACCTCTGCCTCCTTTAGCGATAATGGTACTTGTAATACTGTAAATGTCAGATGCTAGTAGCATTGGAGGCAAGGCTCACAGACTTAGAAGCGCGGCTCCGCACCATGGAGAACAGCCCAGTTAGCTATGCCCAGATAGCCGGTGTGGAGCCTCCTAGACGTAGCTTAGCCCAAGTTAGCTGCCCCCCCTCAGCGACACACCTGCTGAGAAAACAATTCTGGTATTTAGAGACTCCATAGTCAGAAACGTGAAGTTAGAGACACCAGCGGCCATAGTCAAATGTATTCCTGGGGCCAGAGCGGGCAACAATGAAGCCTATCTGAAGCTGCTGACTAAGGATAAACGTAAATACAGTAAGGTTATTATTCACGTCGGCGCTAATGACTCCCGACTTCACCAGTTGGAGGTCACTAAAATTAATGTTGAGTCGGTGTGTAACTTCGCTAAAACAATGTCTGACTCCGTAGTTTTCTCTGGATCCCTACCCAATGTGACCAGTGATGACATGTTTAGCCGCATGTCGTCATTCGACCGCTGGTTGTCTAGGTGGTGCCCATAAAATAACGTGGGCTTCACAGATGACTGGAAAACATTTTGGGGAAAACCAGGTCTGATTAGCATCCATTCCACTTTGGGTGGTGCGGCTCTCATATCTGGAAGAGTTTATTTTACAACCTGAATTATGACAACCCAGAGTCGAGTCCAGGACGCAGGGTAGCAGTCTTACACGCCACTCTGCTGTCTCTTTGCAGCTGCCACCCACCCAACACTCCCATTACCCCATAGAATCAGAATCAAAATCTACTTTATTGGCCAGGTGTGTTGGACACCCAAGGAATTTGACTCTGGTACATCAGCTCTCAGTGTGCAAACAGTAAACCAGCATAAGCATGTGTAATATAACAAAAATAAGCAGTATTTACAAGCAACAGAAAGTGCAAACAATATAGAATAATCAGTAAAAACAGACAGTAAAACCATGCAGACAACAAAGTGTGGATGTCTGATCGCAGGTGGGCCGGAGCTCACACCTCCTTGCTGGAATGTGATCTACACCGGGTGTCTGTGTGTGTGTGATGCTAATTTGTATGTTAAACTGGCCAGGTGGTCATCTCAGGATGTGGGCCCCTGGTCTCTGCGGGACATCCCAAGATAAAGCAGAACTTGGAATGTGCTATGTGGGTCTAGGTGTGAGTGCAAAACAAGCCAAGTTGTCTTTGTTAAAATGTGAATTGGCTGTCTGGTCACATATCTAGTCTCTACACGGAAGTTACAACATTCAAAGTAAGCAGATTCTGCTTCATTACAGCTGTAAGATATACAGTGCCTTGCGAAAGTATTCGGCCCCCTTGAACTTTGCGACCTTTTGCCACATTTCAGGCTTCAAACATAAAGATATAAAACTGTAATTTTTTGTGAAGAATCAACAACAAGTGGGACACAATCATGAAGTGGAATGAAATTTATTGGATATTTCAAACTTTTCTAACAAATAAAAAACTGAAAAATTGGCCGTGCAAAATTATTCAGCCCCCTTAAGTTAATACTTTGTAGCGCCACCTTTTGCTGCGATTACAGCTGTAAGTCACTTGGGGTATGTCTCTATCAGTTTTGCACATCGAGAGACGGAAATTTTTGCCCATTCCTCCTTGCAAAACAGCTCGAGCTCAGTGAGGTTGGATAGAGAGCGTTTGTGAACAGCAGTTTTCAGTTCTTTCCACAGATTCTCGATTAGATTCAGGTCTGGACTTTGACTTGGCCATTCTAACACCTGGATATGTTTATTTGTGAACCATTCCATTGTAGATTTTGCTTTATGTTTTGGATCATTGTCTTGTGGGAAGACAAATCTCCGTCCCAGTCTCAGGTCTTTTGCAGACTCCATCAGGTTTCCATCCAGAATGGTCCTGTATTTGGCTCCAGCCATCTTCCCATCAATTTTAACCATCTTCCCTGTCCCTGCTGAAGAAAAGCAGCCCCAAACCATGATGCTGCCACCACCATGCTTGACAGTGGGGATGGTGTGTTCAGGGTGATGAGCTGTGTTGCTTTTACGCCAAACATAACGTTTTGCATTGTTGCCAAAAAGTTCGATTTTGGTTTCATCTGACCAGAGCACCTTCTTCCACATGTTTGGTGTGTCTCCCAGGTGGCTTGTGGCAAACTTTAAACGACACTTTTTATGGATATCTTTAAGAAATGGCTTTCTTCTTGCCACTCTTCCATAAAGGCCAGATTTGTGCAGTATACGACTGATTGTTGTCCTATGGACAGAGTCTCCCACCTCAGCTGTAGATCTCTGCAGTTCATCCAGAGTGATCATGGGCCTCTTGGCTGCATCTCTGATCAGTCTTCTCCTTGTATGAGCTGAAAGTTTAGAGGGACGGCCAGGTCTTGGTAGATTTGCAGTGGTCTGATACTCCTTCCATTTCAATATTATCACTTGCACAGTGCTCCTTGAGATGTTTAAAGCTTGGGAAATCTTTTTGTATCCAAATCCGGCTTTAAACTTCTCCACAACAGTATCTCGGACCTGCCTGGTGTGTTCCTTGTTCTTCATGATGCTCTCTGCGCTTTAAACGGACCTCTGAGACTATCACAGTGCAGGTGCATTTATACGGAGACTTGATTACACACAGGTGGATTCTATTTATCATCATTAGTCATTTAGGTCAACATTGGATCATTCAGAGATCCTCACTGAACTTCTGGAGAGAGTTTGCTGCACTGAAAGTAAAGGGGCTGAATAATTTTGCACGCCCAATTATTCAGTTTTTTATTTGTTAAAAAAGTTTGAAATATCCAATAAATTTCGTTCCACTTCATGATTGTGTCCCACTTGTTGTTGATTCTTCACAAAAAATTACAGTTTTATATCTTTATGTTTGAAGCCTGAAATGTGGCAAAAGGTCGCAAAGTTCAAGGGGGCCGAATACTTTCGCAAGGCACTGTATAAAGCACTTGAACACAGCCGAGGCCAACAAAGTGCTTAACATAAGATACAATTCAAAACATCTAAAAACGTGACAACTACAATATTAAAATACCAATAAAATAACATAAAAGAACCAACATAGCAAAATAACAAAATACTATCAACCAAAACTCAGCCCAAACAGAGTCTCATAGCATATCAAACGCCAAAGCATACAAGTGAGTCTTCAAGTAAGTTTTAAAAATAGCCAACGAGGCGGCCTGCCTGATGTAAAGGGGCAGCGCATTCCATAGCTTAGGAGCCACAATGGAAAACGCTCTGTCCCCTCTGAGTTTACGCCTGGCCCACGGTACCTCAAGCAAGAGCTGGTCAGCTGATCTGAGGCACCGAGAGGGACTATAAGGAAATAAAAGCTCAGCAAGATACAATGGAGCAAGACCATTCAAAGACTTAAAAACAAATAAAAATCTTAAAATGAGTCCTGAAAAACACTGGAAGCCAATGAAGGGATGCCAAAATAGGAGTTATATGCTCCCTTTTACGCACCCCAGCCAAGAGACGGGCAGCCGCATTTTGAACCAATTGTAGACGAGCCAGTGATGACTGGCTGACTCCGATATAAAGAGCGTTACAGTAATCCAAGCGTGATGTAATAAATGCATGGATTACTGTCTCAAAGTGCTGACGTGAAAGAAAAGGCTTTAGCTTCGCTATCTGCCTAAGGTGG